TTTCATCGTTGTTATGCATAATTTATAATAATTTTCATCGTTATTATCCGGACATTAATAAAATAAAAGAAATGGTTTAAACAAAACGCACACAAGTACAGAGCCCGTGTTTAATGCTTGCATGTTTCTGTGCATGTCTGTGAGCCGTATCTGCATATAATGAACTTATGCAGTATGTCAAATTTTATTACATCTTTCAATGTTTTCACAATAATTATTCCATTATAAATTATTCCGTTGCATATTCACGCTCAGTTATTGTTGGAGAATTACTGAGTGAAAACTTCTTCAATGTCCACCATTTTCACTAGTATGTTCACCGACACAACAACCATAATCTGAACTCTCTCAACTCGATTTTCTAATTCATTTAATCTTGTTCCTCATACTTTCACATTGTTCCAAGTGCAATTATTATTGTTATTCTATATTAACTGTTCTAATTGATGTATTTATACTGTGGATGTATATTAACTGTTCTAATTGATGTATTTATACTGTGGATGTCTTCTCCATCTAAAAATGGAAAGGTTATTATGCATTTTCTAATTTACATTTTTCGAAATTTGCTGTGAATAATGTGTAGTTGAGAACATTTTATGATATTTCGTATTCAAGATATTTAGTATAACCCATAAAAATAGAAGTTAGGAACATTAATATGTAAATCAAGAATTAGAAATGAAATTAAGAGCTGTAGAATGCCCAGCAATTGGGTCTATTAATATGGCTATCAAGAAGTAGGAATAAAACTTTAGGGCTGTAGAATGCACAGAAGTTAGAACTACTAATATCCAAATCTCGAAGAAGGAATAAAAATTAAGAGCTCTAGAAAGCACAGACGTAGAGCTACTAGTATGCATATTACGAACTAGTAATAAAATTAAGAGCTGAATATAGGAGTATTAATATGCAAATCAAGAATTAGGAATAAAATTAATATCTGCAGAATGCACAGATCTTAGGAGTACTTATATAAAAATCAAAAATCATGACTAAAATTAATTGATGTAGAATGCATCGATGTTAGGTCTACTAATACGCATATCAAGAAGTTGGAATATAATTTCAAAGCTACAGAATGCACAGAATTTTAGGAATACTAATATGCAAATCAAGATGCTGTAGTAAAATTAAGAGCTTCAGAATGCACAGTCGTTAGGGCTATTAATATGAATATCAATAAGTACGAATAAAATTTCGCAAGTTGTAGAATAATCAGAGATTAGGACTACTAATATGCAAATCAAGAAATAGAAATGCATAGAAGAAATATCTGTGGACGTGTAATATTGCATGCTACATTTTATCCCCAACAATCCTCTGTACATACAAAAATATTTCTCTTATCACATGCGAAAATGGGGTGGGTAAATTCTGGTCATGTGGGATATATTTTAGCGTAGTTCATTTTAGACCCAGGTATGCAAACTGATTGAACTATAAAACATGTTTAGACTAGCTTAACTTCATTTATACACTGAGCTTTTACACTTGATTATTTTTGGTATTCTAACAGCACAATGTCTCAGGCTCGCCCTGATCATTTAAACTTTTACTTCACTTCTTCAGGAGCCTTCCCAACGATCTGTTAACAATTGGCCTGTTTCTCAGCTGTGTCTCCTGCAATTTTCTCATCTCTCTCGCAAGATGGAGATATTTATCTAATTTTCAGGTTCCCCTACATTTACTCAATGGTTAGATATAATTATTTAAAGTACAGGAATATTCAAGAGGAATTTTGTAAAAAGATCGAAAAATAAGGACTTTAAATAATAGAAATTAATAATATAATTAACATTATTCATCATCATCATCATCATCATCATCATCATCATCATCATCATCAAGCTGTTATAGCTTGATGATGGTGATGATAATGATGATGATGATGATAATGATGATGATATACTGGTAATCAACATCGGTTTTGTACTATTAATAAAAAGTTAATTTTAATGATCTTACTAAGAAGTGATATGAATGAAGGTAATGTATAAATTCTGACGGTAACAGCAGCACTAAATATAATATAAATACATGTATGTATGTATTCTATTATGAAGATAATGATATTGATATTAATTACTTTATGAGCAATAATAAACAAAATAAGAAAAAGAGCAAGAGCATCAGCAGCATCATCAGCACCACAAAAACAACAACAACCCTAATAATATTAATAAGAAAAATTTGCAAAAGCGTGTCTTTTTCTGTGATCTCAAACTGCTTTTAATAAAACATGCGTTTTTCCTCGTTAAATGAGGAACGAAACATCTCCGTAAAAAGAGAAACAGAGAACGAATGACGCCTTTGGAAGAGAAAGTGTTTGCCTCAGACAATATCAAGGGAACGCATAAAGGCCCTTGATCAGCAAACATATCTGACAGATAAAGGCTTAGATCTCAAGAATTTTATCAAAAGCGTATAATAGCGTTTGTTTTGCATGTAATTGTTACACGATGGTATATGGGATGAGGCTTATTGGAATGGTGTGCCCTGACATGACTGTGGCATTGTTTGTGAAAACATGATTACGCCTGTGCATTTGTTCAGGGATATTTGTGTTGATGTATTTTTGTGGTTTATATGAATATGGCTATGTCTTTCTATGAAAATCTGCGTTATATGTTCTGTGGATAAGAAAGAAAACGCACATTAGTGATGAGCGTTCATTTGTTTTGTGTGTATCTATGTGTGCAGATATTGGGAGAAAAATAAAGTATGAATAAGAATATTCTTGTGCATTTTATCTGAGCCTAAAATGAACGAATAGTAATAAAGTTTGGAATCCTTTCGGTTGTAGTTGACGAACTCGAAAATTGCTTTACATTTTCCTATCCAGTGTCGGTAAACATTTTCAAAATCATGTTATATTCATCATCCTAATTATTATTATTATGAAATATACGAAGCTTAATATATCCATCATGACCCCCAGTATAATAATGGTATATAAAGCACGTGCATCACATTCAAATATGCGTGATATGGTGACAAGTTTTGATAAAAGTATATGGGATTCGGTGAGAAATACCTTTAGGTCGGGTAAACAAGTCTGTCCAGACGCTCTCCGATTGAAGTCTTTATTTTGATGGTCTTATTCTTCAGTTACTTTGATGGTCTTATTCTTCAAAATTAAAAAAAAATCTCTCCCAGGTAATGGTGGTAGCTCACAGCTCCAACTGTTGAACAATGTACAATGCATCCGCCTCAAGAGATGCCCAACTAATTATGGACAGGCAATTGACTAGCAAATCTGTGATATTGAATGAAATATTTACTCTCGCTTATCTTAATTCACCAAAACAAAATTGGTGTAGCATCAAATAATTCTTTAATGTTATTATTATTATTATTATTATTGTTGTTGTTGTTCGTGGTGGTGGTGGGGAGGTGTAGTACCTTTTATCATGATTATTGTAATTATTATAACATGTTAGCAGCATTAGTATTGTCATAGTTGTTCTTTTCTTGTTTGTTGTTAGTATCATTATTGTGATTCCTAAATTTTCCTCTTCATTAATCGTCAAACGTCGATAACGTAACAATGAGAACTAAAGATTATATATATATTGTTCAATATAAGAATGTTATATTTAGAGAGAGTTTAACTTTCTGAATCAAGAATCTTTACATGTCAATTTCAACATATTTGAACGGGATACTATAAATTAGCATTATTGATATGCACATTACATATTTGATCCAGTCAGTAACACGATTCTAACTTGCTTCTGATTGTTAGCGTTATATCATATCAAATCAACTTGCCTAAATCATTAAATCTATCGCCATGGCAAATAAAATGTAGTCAAAAGATTGTGCAGTTTGATGAGAAAATAAATGACAATTATTTCTCTTTCTCTAATACACACACACACATACACATATACATATATATATATATATATATATATATATATATATATATATACAAACCATAAGATTAAGCCCCTCCTGCTTTCTGATGTGGGATTAACATTTTCCCTACTTTTGTGCGTGTTAATTTTTATTTATAACGGCGTGTTTTGTTTGCAAACTTCGTTAAAGTAAAATTAAAATGCGTAAATGGAAAAGGCCACCACTATCAAAGGATGAAGGATTTCAACATCAAAGTTGAAAAATTTCAGAAATTTGTTTTCTTAATTCTTTGTGCATGTTCATGGCAAAATTCAATCAGAAGAAAGATTAATAATTTTTTCTTTATACACTTCATTTAAAATTTCCGTCTCTTATTTTTTCTAACTTCAGTCATTGGATATTTACTTCATTCTTTTCCTACTTGCTACATGTATATTTTTCTTCGATTTTTACTTGTTTTATTCCTTTGTTCCTCTTTTTGGCGTACATTTTGACCTTTCTTTTTCAGCCATTTTCTTTCCCTTCATTCGTTTTATATTTTGTTTATTTTCTTTTCCTTTAACTAGACCAATTCCTCCATTTTTGATACTTTTTGTCTTATTTTATTTTTCTTCTTTTATTGTTTTCTAATTCTTTCTGTTCTCTCAACTTTTCTCTCGTTTCTTTTTCAATCCACTCTTCCTTGATGGATTCTTTGATGTGCAACCAAAGTTTGCTCAACAAACTTATTTTCATGTCCGTGCATGCACACATAATATTCCCTTCCTCAATCTTCTTAATCTTTCCATATCCACCAACTTCCGTTTGTTAGCCTTGTTTATTTGCTTTTGCATTTCCCCATTGTTTCCAGAACACACAGCTATGGCTCAAAGCTTCGTAACAACGCTGGCTGGTGGCACAATTGGCTTTTAAATAACCCCTATGGCTTTTTATTCTCTCCGCACTCAGAGCTATTCCCAAACCACCGCCCTTATATCCATGGATTCTTCGAAAATTCTTCTTTGCTACGCTTTACGCTTGATTTCAACACATCTTTTCGAAGTTAACTCTGGCACTCTTCTTTTTCCGCACGCATGCACCAGTTGGAACAGTGTAGGCGTTTAACAGTTTAGCAGAGCTTCTATTATTTGCTTTCAATGCTACGAGTCTTGCTATCTATCTATCTATCTATCTATCTATCTATCTATCTATCACAAAAGTATACATTTCTCTTTACGCTTCTATTTTTATGGACACACTCATACATATACATATATGAATGTTAGGTTGAGCGTTACTACTTATATTGGTGCATACAGGGGTTTGTATTTCATCGTGTAGACTTACTTCATTATTTGTGTATAAAACTCATTTCAAACGAATGAAAAGCTTGGAATATAAAGATCAAATCCATTCTTCTGCTATGTGGCGTGGTCATTCAAAAAGTGGATGATCATGGCTCTCCATAATTTCCTATATTTTGTAACTCTTAATTAGATTTGTCTTTTCACCATTCCTCCCAGATCCTGTTCTGCCCTCCATTTACACAAACTCTTATGTAGGTTACTCACTATTTCCGTCTCTACCTTGCCTTCAACATGCCCTGTGAATGTCAAATTCTCCCATCACATCTTTCTCATTGTGTGTCTTATCCTTTTTGTTTTCATTTTCCTTAAACATTTCTAGTTATTCATATGCTCAGTTCATTGGATTCTCAGTATCCTTCTGTAGAACCACGTATTTGCCTCATATCTCATCTTAATCCCTGAGTAGATTGTCCAGCATTCACTGTCATAGAGGAATTTTGATATTAGATAATAGTTCAGCACTCTTTTCTTAATTTCTAACGATATTTTCCTGTTTCTTAATACTTTGCTTAGCTTTTGGAAGGCTTAACTATTTTACTCACATTTATTGCGAACTATTCAGTATACGTGACAGTTTTAGTCATTAAATGAAATACACTGTCTCAATTCTTCCACACATCTCTAGCTGTTTCAAGAGTATACTCTACCATTCACAGTGCTCCAGCTAGTATTAACATAGCCTTCGCTCTAATATGCACTTATTTTCATCGCTTTCGAGTTGTTTTTTTCACTATATTTTAATTTATTATATGAAAAGTGACATTTTGTTTGGAAGGTTTTCTTTATTATCTACATTAACTAGTTGTTTTTTTTGTAGGTGAGACAGAATGATTTGTTTGTATTTTAAATTCCAATTTCTTCTTCTTAATGTTTGAACTATATTGTTGCTATTCATTTCAGTAGTCGTATGGAAATCATTTGCAGAGATCCATTGAAATCTCCTTCATTTAACAATCATGTCCAGTATTTTATTCTATGTACCAATCAACTCTATTCACAGATTACGTGTCGACGTTTCATCTTTCATTTCTGTTAAGAGATTTTTCCTTTTCACTCATAAGTTTTTAAATTGATGCAGTTTTTTCCGAATACTATTCTTTTGGATTATCCTTAAATATAAGACATTACGCGTTTCTGGTATCCTTTGCATAAAGACGGGAAGGTCTGTTTTCCCAGGCATTTCATATTTCCTGAACTGCTTGTGTACTTGTTTGAGCTTTGTGTTGTTGATTGATCAGTTTATATCTATATCTCAAAATAACAACACAATTATCTGGGGAGCATATTTTAAATATTTTTCTTTCATTTTAGAACTGCAATATCATCATCATCATCATCATCATCATCATCATCATCAACAGCAGCAGCAACAACAACAACAACTTGACGGGCGATGCACTATAAATCAAATAGCCAATGGTATTATCGCATCCCGGAATATTGGCATGATGAAAGTTTGGGGAAGATCCAGTTGGTTTCTGTGAACATTTCCTAATCCAGGATTAGTATTGGGATCATCTCTGAGTCAGAGACAAAAAGATAATACATGCGGTGGAAACTCACCTCCTGATCTGCTCCGAAACAGGCTAAGGTCGTTTCATCTACAGGGAATGTGATAGTCTCAGTTTATGGGATTAAAAAGCATTGTGTTTACTAAATATATTCAAAAGGCCACACCATCAATGGAAAGTACTACTTCAACTTGCTGAGGCAGTTACGAAAGGCTATGGAGACCAAACGCCCAGGAAAACTGACAAAAGTAGTCTTGTTTCATCAAGACAATAGTCCAGCACATGTCTTTGGTATTAATGGCTGATGTGCATAACTGTGACTTTGAACTGGCTGATCATCCTCCTTAATCTCCTGATTTGGTTACCATCTAACTATTATTTGTTCCCCAACATGAAAAATCAGGATCACCCCGATGATGGCGTCATAACTAATGCTGGTGATTTTTTTGACAGGATGAAAGCTTCTTCACCAATTGGATCCAAGCACTACAACGGAGATGGAAGAAGTGCGTGGACCGCACTAAGGATCATGTTGAAAATTATACCTCATTTGGTCACATTCCATGAGAGTATCTTGGTTAGTCTATGGACTTTTCAGCTGACACTTGTATTACAACGACACCAGCAACAAATATATTTAGTTGTAGTAATGTGATAGAAACAAAGTGTTATATTAGTATTGTCACCAAGAACTTTACAAAACGAAAGCAGAAAGCTTATGAAGATGAGTGCATCATATAAAATTCGAGTAGAAGGTTATTTGCAGATATAAAAAGAATAATAATTACTAAAAGATTGATTAAATGAAGAATATGATGTAGGAATAGCTACATGCATTCATTAGAGTTATGTTAATCAAGAAAAATGAAAGCAGAAATAAAAAGAAAAATGTGGTTGAATGAGTACATTGAGAAAATGTAGTGTTGGTTGTTAAGGTAGTTGTTTAACTTAGCGAAAGCTTCTTTACTGTCTAGGGAATTACTTTAGAAAAAAAGAGATCTGTGTCTGCAAAGAAATCGGCGTAGAATAAAGCTGGAATGTATACAATAAGAAATAATGTCAATCTCTAAATACCACTGATAAGAATCTTACAAATTTGAAGATTTTCTAGTCGCAAAACTGGTTTCCAGGAGAAGACGAAAAACAATTGGAATGATCTGATCAGATAGTGCTCTAATATTACTGAGTAAAAAGTCACTGATAGCGATATTTGTATCTTTAAAAGCGAAACCTTTTCTATTTGAAAGATTGGCACAGTTTTCCTTCTTGCTTCATCGTGAGTCAGATTTCGCTAAGCTTAAGAAATGTCTATACATTCGTAACTTCTTGATTTGCAGAATTATTTTGAAAAGAAGCTCTAATATATTTAGCAATCGGATTGGCATAGACAAGCTTGGTCAACTTTCACTCTGTTTCTGTTAAAATATCCTTTTATTGTCACTGTCTCTGTTTATATATGTACCTATCCTCTATAGGAATTTCCAGAAACATTTGCTAAACTTCAAAGTCGCTTCAATTGTCATAAACTTTATACGATTAAAGACAAAGTACTGGAGAAGATTTTCATATTTTTTGCATAAATTATAGCAAAAGAATAATGATGTGAAATATATTTTTCATTTATTAAACTATTTAACTAAGAAATAGAGCATTAACTTATTAAACACCTGTAATTTAAAACTATGTAAATCCAGCCAATTATTGAATTTTAATGCAACCATTTGAACTTATTGTATCAACGACTCAATTTATATATTAACTTTTAAAAAAAAACATTAGCGGAAATATTTACTTTAATGTAATACCCAGGCCCTTAAGAAATACGTGTTGCATGTTTTAAAATAATTAAAACTACATAAATAATTTTTACGATATTTTATAAACAAAATAATATATTGATTTTTATTGGCAGATTTTTAATATTATTTTTTCAATTGTAAACTGTTGATATGTAACAAATAAAAATACATCATTTGTAATAAAGATGAAAAAAATTATTTTTTTATAATATAAAAATATTTCAAAATATTGTTTAAATTCGTCTGAAGTGTTATTAAATAATAATGATGTTTTAATGAAATGAATGACTCAATAATCATTATCGGCTGTATTTTATTAGATTCTTTTGTTAAGGGAAAAGTATACATTTTGGACAGTGTCCGAGTTACGCAATAACTATATCATTTTCCCTTGAATATTTTGTGAATATAGGAATATATAGACGACCGAGTGATTCAAGGTGTTTTCGATAATTATTTAATGATACTTTATGTGGAAATGTTATATTTAACTACCATCTATAAAATGAAAATGGCATACACACATCTACATACACACACATGCGCACGCACACACACACATATATATATATATATATATATATATATATATATATATATATATATATATATATATATATACATGTGTGTGTGTGTAGGCTTAGAATGTCCCTCATCCCTTTGACTAAAAATTACAATACGCTTCTATTTATGGGTGTGGCAAGAAAAATGGATTTCTCGATGAGTGTCAAGTGACCTCGAACGGAAGTAGATCTCTGCCCGCTGATTCCCGTTGTCTACGTCAAATGCACCAAATGCACTCTAGAAACACACTTGAAGCAGAGATTTTAGCCAAAGGGCGAGATTAATGCGAACGAGATGACGCAGCTAATGAAGAAAGTGGACTTTGCCGGTAGTTTTAAAGAATGAAAGGAACACTGGAATAAGTATGTGAGGCCAAAATGTTAATATAGAGTTTTAAGAAGACATTGCTTTAGGTGGGTTATTTTTTAATTATTAAATGGCTGGATAGTTTCCAGACATATCTTCTACATACATAAATGCACACATGCCTATCTGTGCGTATGTATGCATACTGATCTATCCAGAAACAGAATCTGAGACGTGCATGCACATATAATCTAGAAATATTAATCTTTTAAAGCAGTCATTTTTCACACAAAAATTCAATTACCAAAATCATTTTTCAAGGAGGTTAAATTGAGTTATGTAATGATATCAAAATTTATTCCATTAAAAAGCTGGCATTCAAATCTTTCATCACATTTCTGCTTCTTATAGAAATTTGTCTTGATAGGGTTTTGTCTCCTATGAAGCCACCAAACTTTCTTTTTTTTTTACCATCAACCATATTTTAATTAAATATACCTTCAAAGTAGTAATCATCACCAACATGTACACAAGTGTCAGGAAAACTTTCAGAAGAGATGAAAGCTGTATTTTGCCAGAACAAAGCAAATAAATCAATAAGGTAAAAAGTTTAATTAAATAGGGAGAAAGATATAAAGAGATTTCAGCCAATTTTAATATCTCATAAAACGATTACATCCAGAAACACAAATCTCTATCTTATTACCAGCAAGACAAAACTGTTTTTTTTACTATCATTTAATTATCGCAGCAAAAACACTATATATAAAATGAGGTTTATTCAAAAACTGTGTGGGTGTGTTGAAATGGTTTTGGTTCACTTCCCTTCCGCAAATCTGACCAACAACGAATTTTTTAGATTTAGATTTTTTTCAGGCCAAGAACTTTTTAGTATCCTTTTGTGCATGGGTGGATGTTTTCAGGCACGCAATACTCATATACAATGATTATTTTACTTGTTCCTTGTTACAAAATTACAATTTTTTATTGAGGTTGTTTTCACTGATGCATTCTAACTTAAATTTATGTTTTGTGTATAGGTGCATAAAATAATCATATGAAGGAGTCCCTGTCTAAATTGATAAGAGTGATAATGACAATGTCACACATTACATTTCTATCTTATGGAAAATAGATCAATTTACATAGTTAGATAAAGAAGATTACTATTTATCCAGAAGAAATTCATCTAGAAAAAGGTATTCTAGATCATTTTTCTACTAACGCAGGTGTGCCCAAGGGCTCTATCTTTGGACCTATTTTATTCTTAATATTCAACATTGAGCTTCCTGGTGGTATCAGTTTTCAACTTGGTATCTATGCTGTGTTCATCTTGTCTGGTTTTTGTACGTCCGCTCGTCAAAATTACCTTTGTCAACTGAGAAAAACACTGCTATTATATAGCTCTCCCAGTCCCTGACCCACGCTGACTATTGGTACTGTTCATATGCAAATAGTCTGCACCACCTACTCTAAACAGCCCAATGTGGTTCCTGGGGCTTATAGCCCAATATACCCGATTCTCTGTTACACCTCCCCCGATTTCCTGATCACAACACCTACTTGCAGGAGTGTGCCTTTCATTCTGGTGCTCTTTCACAAGAGAGGAACTTCGACCTCATTGTTGTCACGTGGGTGAGGTACTTCATCTTCAGTGTTGTCGCCATCCATCTCCACCGTGGCAGGAGGCTCATCGAAAATCCGGGAATCTATTTGCAACTCTCCATCGCTCGTGGTCCCATGCAGGTCGGAGGTTTTTAACATGATGCGGCATGACATCAATCAAGACAGATTGTAGACTAATGATCCCAATGACCTTCCGCGCTTTCTTTTTCTGATCAAACTGGACGCTAAAGAGCCACACACAGGGATGTTTTTTTTTGTCGATAAACTCCAATGCAGCCGAATAAGTGATTCTTACACCCCCTAGTTCTTTAATCGCATTCATCCCGATCAGAAGGTCGAAACCAAGTGTCTTTTTTCGTGCCACCAGTACGCCAATCTTGACAAGACTTCCACCTTGCAACCAGAAAGCAACGACTCCGATCCCACAAAAGGCTCTGTACTCCCCATCTATCGTTGTTACGCGTACAGGCCCTGGTATATCTCTCTGCTGGCTATAGACAGCGAACAACCAGTATCGACCAGCGCGGTGACGGTTCTGCCATCAACCTGGACCCCGATTACAGGTAATGCTGGGCTGGAGAGCATACTGGCACTGACATATCTCATATATCATTGCATCTAAAGCACTTTATGACATAAACTTCCGTCGTACTTTGCATTGGCCCAGCCGCTGCTGCTATCACGACTTCCTCCATCTCATCGTCTCTCATAATCGCCCGGGCTCGTGCAAGCAATTAGTCAATAGACATCGCGTCCGTCCCAGACAACGTACGAAGAGTCCGCTTTACATTGCCTGGCAACCCTTGCACAAATGCGCAAGCCAGCATAAAGGTCACTCATCCCGCCCAACAAGAACGCGAGTTTCTTCAATTCAGCTAGCATCCACGGATTCGCTGCACCGTAGAGGCCGCTCAATGAGCTGTTCGTACGCCATAAACGAATCCGTAGCAAAGGCTGTAATTAAAGCAGTGTTTATCTGGTCAACGTCGGATTTTGTTTTGTCATCCAGTTATTGGTAAACTGTATATGCTCCGCCTGTAAGTCGCAAAGGGTTCACGTGCTCCAAAGACACATAGCCTGCAGACGAGTTCCAGCTTCTCTAACCATTCAACCGGACCACGATCCGTCAAACTCGGGAATTAACTTGGAGTCTGCCATCGTCCGTCAATTGCCGAAACAGTTTGTGTTCGTCTTGTGTGGTTTTCGCACGTCTGCACGTCGAGAGCGCCTCATAATTTATTGCACAAAGGTAAAAATGTAATACATGGCCTAAAATTGGGATGGGAAGGGCTGGTCTCCGCCTGTCTTAAAATTAAACTTAGCTAGCCACAATAACTGACCCAGGCATACTACAATTACCCTTGCACCAAAACGCCACATTCTTATTTTCTATTCTTACTACAACTACCATAATACCTCAGAGACTCTATTCAGTCTTAACTAGACAACATATGTACAATTTCTGTCTGTGGGAGTGGGAATACAAAAACAACATTTAAAAATCAGTTAACCGGACGAAATTAATGCGGAACTTAAATAATCACAATTGACTCAGACGACCTAACATTCACAGAAACAAACCCTCACGCTAAAGCACAACAACAAATACGAAAAATCACACCCGAAAAACGAATGGCGCACCGCATCCATCAGATAATTGATATTTTTGATCACCTAAAGCGAAAGGGGAGGGGGAAATAAACAAAGAAAGCGAGGGCAAAAAGGGGGGCCAATAACCATACGTACCCTAGCTAAGTTAACTTGGATGAAGAAAAAAACTAAAGGAAATAAACAAACCTAAACTAAAATAATTACTAATTACGTGCGGGGTTGCCAATGTACAATCCAGCAATCCCAATATCCTTAATGCCTAACCGGCATCAAAATGTCACCCTAAGTCAGCACCTTTCACTCAGCAGAAACGCGTAAGACTCAACCACCTTTCGACAAATTCCAATAGATAGTCGTTTCCTTTTCGTCCTAATCTTGACTTTAAGCAGATGCTTAGAGAATAGGATCAGTTAGTAAGAGGTAAACTTCTCGTCTCCATGAAATTCCTTCTATCGTCCATATCATGACTCGCATAACTCCTAGCAAGCAAAAGAACACATAGTGCTCAACGTTAAACATCGGCGGTACGACATTGCTACATATGGAACTTGCCTCCAGGACAAAGAACTTTCCGCATGATATGAAAGAACCATGATATCCTCAACAAACTTGCACAACGGACTCCACCACCACACCGCAGCGAACGCAGTTTGGAAACTTTACAAAACCCGCCACACAAAGCTTTTTGCCGACCCAGAAAGTCCATCGAATAATCAGTCAGGTGAGTGATGCCTCAGTATTAGAGAGACATTTCAACCCGAACGCCCAAGCATCGAACCTCCTGCTTCGTCAGACGGAGCTTGACGATCAAATCATCCTGAGCGCTCCCCTTCACTTACACCCGATATAATGCCTTAGAAGACAACGGCTGTACGTCGGAGAGGTCATTCGTCGCCCGTAAGAGGTTCCTGAGTGCAAGCTGACATTCGCGATAGGAGCACTTGCTTCTAAATAAACGGCCGGCCACATCCTCGCACGAGCGCACACTTCTTGAGGATGGAAAGTTTTACGGGCTTCTTTCTTCTAGAAACACATCCGGTCCAGTTAAGAAATGCGTAGCGTATGTCGACGAATCACAACACAAGGCATACCTATACCGACCTCAGAATAGTGGAGGTATCAGATCTCACCAGGTACCTTCGCAGAAGGAAGAACAAGAGTCTTATGAAATCCAATAAAGTGGCAGACGGGAGTTGAAGTACGTAGACTCGGTAAAGTTGAATCAGGTAGATGTGAAAGATTCCTCCGAGACTACAAACGAACTGCGACCTCAGCCTTCTCCCGTACCTCTGACCATTTCATTTCCAAGAGGAGATCGGGATCGAACCAGTCGCCTAGTATCTTCAGGGGCCCGTCAGTCTAGAGGAAATACCCGGGAAGAGAAACTCTTTACGAACTCAACCGCAAGCCAGACTTATCGCGGTTGATCCTGGCCCATGTTACTGTCTCGTACCCTCTGATTTCTGTGCAGACTTTGTTAATTTTGGCACCGCTCAACAGAAGAACCAAAACGTCGTCAGCACAGACGGTGTACCTGGCCAAGGTGGTAGTACCAGGTAGGGAAATTCCGCGAAAGAACAGATTCGTCTTCAACTTACGAAAAATGGGTTCCAATGCAAAACGTACAGAAAGCGGGTAACCTTGACAAATGGAGCGAGGCAATACGAAAGGTTTCGATCTTACTCCATTCACTTCCTCCAGCGCACTGGGGAGGGGCGGGGGACGAATACAGAAATCGAATCCAGGTGCGAAAGAACGGCGCAAAAACTACCGTCGAAAAAGGACAGCCTCCAGGAAAGGACAACCCTACCGAAAGCCATGGACTGATCTAAATTGATTAGCGCGGCGTCACTGTCGACTTGCTAGATGATCAAGCGTACCAAATGAAGGTTGTACTAAATAGTCCTGCCCTTTATAGCCCAAATCTGCTCGGGGCCAATCAGACTAGGGAGGACAGCCTCTACAAACGGCCAGCTAAGACCATGGGTAAAATCTTGAACTCTGTGTTTAACATCGTCAAAGGCCGATAATTACCTATCTAATCCCCACCGTTTTTGTTCTTGTGAAGCAACTTTTATCACACCCCTGGTGAAATGTTTAGATATAAACACCTGCTTCATCCAGTTGTTGTAAATCAGTGCCAGCAAGGGAACAAACACGGGCGGCTGCATCAAGTACATTTCATAAGAAAGACTATCTAATTCCGGAGACTTATCCAGGCTAACCTTCTCCACCACATTTAAGATGTCAGAATCTGTAAGGTGACCCCCTCACCCAGCCGTTTCAGCTGCCTCGAGGCGAGGAAAGTCGGCCAAATAGACTGATTAGGGCTCAGACCGGGCTCCCTGGTAAACAGCTCCTGAAATTAGCACGAAATGCCTCACATATGCCTACTTCTGTAGTCACAGTCTGCTTGTCCAGCAATGTGATGCCCGCAATATGCCGACTGGATGCACTTTGAGCTTTCTCTGCACGCAATTCAGCGGTCACGTTTGCTGCCTTGCAAGGCATTCTTTTTAGCCTAGACCTAACTACTAGAGCTTGAGCCTGCTTCATATGCTAAAACTCCGTCTCCACTATCACGGGATTTGATTTCCCGATATACTTTCTCTTCGTACGCCGTTTGAGCTGCTAATACTGCTAATATTGCTAGACTGAATCGGCGACTAAAATCAGTAGCAAAAGACCTAAGTATAGATTTTAAACAATCCCACCACTTATTCCCAACCACAGAAATCGTCAATTCCCGCTGTAACATTAATAAAAACTGGTCCCGGAAATCTTGCTTACGAAATAATGATGCGTTCAATTTCCAGTAACCAGCCATCTTAACCTTAGGCTTCTCTAAGTTTACACGAACCCAGACAAGCCTATGATCCGAGTAAACTATATAAGTGAAACTAAGAGCAACCTTACGTCGACTCTCTTAACTAGAACTCAGTCGATGTAGTTGAACGCACCACCGAATCCGAGCTGCCACTCTTCGTCCAAGTCCATGCTACTTCCCGGGAGTGCTCATTTCGATACTTATCGACAAGATCAAACCCGTCCATAATGTCAAAACGGCTTAACATCCGGGTTGTTAGTACCCAATCTTCCCCCTGTACGATCTATATTGGGATCAAGGACGGCATTCCAATCACCCGCTGGAACTACCGAACGAGATGTTATCAAAAACGGATCGATCCGCCGAAACAAACAAGGCCGCTGCACATGGTCATTGGGCGCATAAACCCCAATGTGATGAAGACGAAGACTTTATGGTAATATTCAGCACGCAAAACCTTCCCGACGGAGCCGCGAAGACAAGAGCACACACCACAGTCACAAACATCTCTCGAGCAGACAACGAAACAAGCTGAATAGAGGAGAAACCTCTTAGAATGTCTTCACGGTCGCAAGTTGAAAACCAGGTCTCCTGCAAACAACATATATCCATCGCGAAACGCTGAATATCGCGAGTGAATCTCGCTCAGTGACACACCCTTCTCAGGCCCCAGGCATTCAAAATTGCTAACCAGAGAACCATTATCAGATTAAGTGGGGTTGGGAATCTGGTTTGATCATGATCGGGGTAAGGATACTGACAGCCTCTCCCATTGACCCTTGGCCCATCTCAGTCTTGATTATACCGACATGGAGTCAGTTTGAATGCCCTATAGAGGGAATGGTGAACTAAAACTGGGACCCTCCCTGAACAAAACTGTTTCAATTTGTTTAATTGTTCGTTCTCAACGATGGTAATTGGGAGTGATATTTTAAATGAGTTGATGGCCTTCTCTGAACCAGTTCGTATAAACGTCAACACTCTGTGCATTTGGAAAATTTGACGGTCAACTGATATTTCAGTTGTTTTATCCTATTCCCATAATTACGGGGACTTTTAGCATGGGCCGAAAAAATGCGGCAGACGTCCTCACCTAAATTGTACGCATGTTTGTTTTTTTCTTTT